ACACCGCCTTGAGTAAGAAGGGAGGAAGTCTCGAGCGGGAGCCGTGGTTTTGTCGGGACGGGGGCTGTCGAACAGCACCGTCTGAGGAAAAAAAGAGGAAGCCTCGAGCGGTAGCGTTGTTCTTGCTGGGAGCGGCGCCAATTCAAAAGAGAGTATGGCGCCAGTCCAGCGTGAAACGGGAGGAAGTGTCGGGCGGGAGCACTGAATTTGTTGGGACGGCGGTTGTCGGCGGCGAGGAGGAGCACCGCCTTGAGCAAAAAAGGGGAAAGTCTCGAGCGGGGGCGTTGTTGTTGCTGGGGGCGGCACCGATGAGAGAAAGAGTAGCGCGCCAGTCCAAGGTAAAACGGGAGGAAGTCTCGAGCGGTTGCGCTGGTTTTGTTGGGACGGCGGCTTTCAGCGGCGAGCAGGAGCACCGGCCCTGAGTAAAAAAGGAGGAAGTCTCGAGCGGGAGCGTTGTTGTTGTTGGGGGGCCCGTTTTGGCGCCCCCCCAAACCGCTCGAGCGTGAGCCTCATTTTCAATGAATGTAGCTGGCGCCGAGGCGAGAGCGCCAAAGCGCCGGGGGGGGGTCCAACAATAATAATTGTTTAATAATTAACATTCAACGACAACAACAACGACACCGACAACGACAACGACAACGACAACAACAATAATCTGCATCGCGGAATCCAACTTCAGCCAGGCACCCATGGACAGTAAATGACCGTTCGGTCCCCTCACTCTGTTATGTATCCCTCTCTCTTACCTTCTCTATCCTGCTCTTGTTCTCTCTCTCTCTCTATCCTGCTCTTGCTCTCTCTCTCTCTCTGTGTATATTCTCGCTCTCTCTTCCTCTCCCCCTCTCTGTCTCTCACTCTCTCTCTCTCGCCCTCTCACTGACTGGTGGCACCGACTCGAAACTCACCACCAGATGAAATTGGTTGGCATCTATATTGAAGCGGTGCCGGAGGGCTAGGGCCCTAGCATGAATCTCGAAGTCACTGCCGGCGCCGGAGTGAAAACGGCCGTCGAACGCCTGAGCGCCTCCCACGCATCGGGCGTCTCCCTGACAGCACCCAGCTGTGAGCTCGACCAGCCCGATCCCTTTTGGCCAGCATGTGCGCCACAGGTAAGGCTATGCCCCCAGTGACAGGGTGCGACCTCGAGTCTGCACAACCACGCGGCTTTTGGAGCCATCCAGCCCAGACGGCGGTCCTGGATCGCACAATCGGCGCCCCACGCCCGTGCACCCCCAGGCCACGAGATCGAACCCGGCGCCATCACCCAAGGAGAAGCGCTGCTTGGTACCAGAAGGCAGGTGCGGAGAGACACCGGCCTCCGCGCGAAAGCCGGGCGCCTGCAGAGCCAGGCGCACACCTGCCGCTGTGGGGGCCTTGTTGGTAGAGCTTGGCAAAACACTGCTCGCCGCGGGTGGGCATCGCCCAGATCTGCCAGAACGTGGGACGACTGAGGCACCCGTGTCTCCTGGCTCCAGCTGCCGGCTGGGCTCGTCACGCACATGCTCCGGGCCGCACAGCGGAGGGCCTTCCTGCGACGCATCCCGACCACCAGGCACGACCTTGGAGCCGCAGCCGCTGTCAAGATGGGCCTTGACTATTTCGCCAACGCCTGGCTCCTGAGGACCAGAGGCGAAGCCAAATGTACAGCTTGGCAATTCGACCTACTTTGCAAGTACCTCTGTGGAGGTGACCACGCCCAGCAGAGGAAAGTCTAGGCCAGTATCTCGGCGAACCCCTCTCCTCTGGGCAAGCGGTGACCAAGAGGAAAAAACCCAGGAGCACGCCAGAGGACTTCCCTCAATACATGGTCTCCGAGCAACAATGGGAGGATGCTCCACAACACACCACGCACTGCGGTCTTTCGAGGGGGACCTCATGTTTCTCGACCTACAGGCAGCTCTGGCGGAAGACGAGATTTCACGGCCCATCCTGAGACTGCCCCAGGGGGACGATGACGAGGATGCCAACCAAGAGTGCACCGCCCGATGGGTCTACGCCGCGACCGAAGGGGCCTGTTCCAAGCAAGCACACTCCCTCCTGGCCAGGGCAAGCTGCGGCGTGCACTGAGATCCGAATCGCCGGCTAACCACTTGGCCCGCTTGCGCAGCCTGGCACAGAGAGCGTCGCGGGCTGAAACCCTCACAATTCTGCGCTTCGCCGCCACGGCGGAACGACCGGTCCACGTCTCCTTCGACAACACAGCGGCCGTCGACGGGTTCGAAGACCTCCTGAGGGGCAAACCACCGCAGCACGTGGGGCCGCAATCGGACCTTTGACAGAAAATCCATCGAGTGCTCCTGGCGAAAACTGACCAGCAAAAGTTCAAAAGGTCGAAAAGACACCTCGGGGAACAAAGCATCAATGAAGGCCGCATTACGACTATCGCTGAAACTTTTAACCGCCACGCCGATGAACTCGGTACCGCGGGGGCGAGGCACCGCAGCATCCCACAAAGTCTGGCCGACGCTGCGAGATGGCGCCACTAGTTCGCCATTGTACTCCACAGCGTGCCCGTTTCAATGTATGATCAGCGACGCCGCGCGCCCCCTCTGCCCCACAGGTGAGCAGTGCACTCCAAGTCTGAACTCCCCAAAATGGAACCAAGCCCGCTCACCACCAGTCAGGGAGGACCAGGGCGGGCCACCAGGTCCCGACCATTTCGACGAACTCGATGGTCCCTGGGCCCCAACCACGGACGACTTCGAAGCTGATGACCTCGACGCGGTAGAGCTAAGGGCTACCCTTAACGCAGCCGACGACCGCGACCTTCTGTCACCGAACCACTCCCACTGCAATGTCCAGACTGCCGAGGACCACCCGGGCGTGACGGCAAGAACCCGCAGCTGCTTGACGCTCGGAAGCGGCAAGGCACGCTAGCCACTCACCAATCTCATGTTCATGCGCCACCGCATTCGGCCCACCAGGGATCCGACGGGGACGGCCGCGATACCAGGGGTGACGGCAACCACGCCCGCGGTGACCGACGCAGTCTCGACGCTGACCGCCACACCCCAAGGCACCACCCCGCCAGTAACGCCATCCGCCTGGGAGAGAACCTGCGCACGGTAGGCGAAGGGTTGCGGACTGCGTCCCCTTGGACCACCTCCGCCGCCCCAGCCCGCTGGGCTAGCCAACGCAGCGCTTCCTGCCACGTGACAAATCCCCAGCACCACCAGCGAACATCAAGGGCCCCAGTAGCACCCGCAAGGGTGTAGCCGACCGAACGATATCACAGCATCGCTCCGATCGGAAGAGTGCCCTCACGCAACACCTCACTGCGGCCATTGGCCAACAGCAGTGGGACCGCGAGACAAGCTTCACCGCCAGCATTCACGCGCTCCACCAACGAACCAATCAGCTGGTGACCTCTCTCCGGCAGATCCAGGAACATCTGGAACCGCTAATCCGACAGTTTCCACCGCGCGCAACAGATTTGGAGCAGCCTGCAACAGACGTTCTGGCCTGCTGCGGTCATTGGGGCCTCTCCACGGCAACCTCCAAGCCTTCCTTGACGCTCAAAGGGCGGCACACTGGTGCTAGCGTCTTTTCTCGCGGGGGCTCGTGAATTGATGGCGCCTGCTCCGTCGCCTGCTTCTTCTGGGCTGGTGTGGGAGATGCCCTAAAGCGGCACCGCCCTTCCCTGGGCGCCTAGGCGCGCATGCCAAAGCGTACAAAACTGGCGCCCCTCTCTTCGCACGGTGGCAAAGACGGGACCAGAGGTCTGATCACCGCCGCGAGCCATGTTTCTTCAAACGGGGACCCTTTAGTCCGCTCCAAGGGGGAAGCTCTCCCACCGCTCCTGCTCCGTATGCGGCGCCTCCCGCTTTGCGAAGAAGACCTGCCGAGCACGTGCGGCCCGGGGGTCTGGACGACCCGTCGTCCAAATCGTTGCGCGCTCTTGTTGTTTGTTCTCTCTCTCTCTCTCTCTCCCTCTCTCCCTCCCTCTCTCTTTCTCTCTCTGATTCCTTCCTCTCTCTCTCCCTTCCCCCCACTCCCTCTCCTGATATCTCGGTTCCTCCCACTGTGCTGAGGGACCTCACCCGATGGGGGGCGGCCGCGTACTGCAGCACGCTTACACACCGAGCATCCGTGTGGTGCCTGTGACTCGTGTTCGCCGCCTGGAGACACTGTGGCGCCGCGCAGAACCAGCGTGCACACGCGAACAAACTCATCGAAGGATTGCAAAAAAAAACCGAAGGATTGCAATCCTTCGTTTTTTTGCAATCCTTTGTTTTTTTGCAATCCTTCGTTTTTGTTGCAATCCTTCGTTCGAGGTTGTTTTGCAATCCTTCGTTTTTTGCAATCCTACATCATGTGAGGAATGACTGCGTGAATGGCATTAGGCTCCCGCGTAAGTCCCGACATTGCTGGCCGTCGCAGCCCTCAAGGCCACAGTCAACATGGGCATTGACCCAGACCATAACAGACGTACGTGCGTCATCTGGCATGCGCAAGAGATGAAATCGCAAAGGAAAACAAAGGCCAGGAACTATCCGTTGCAGTACTCATCCACATCGTGGTTTGCCATCGTACGGGCGAATGGACCCGCAGGTCCCCCGAGGCCCCCTACAGGCCCTTGGAGAACCCAAATCGGTACTGAACACACAAATGCTAACACATACAACAAAACGGTCGTCGTCCTCATCCCCAGACCTCCGACTGATGGACTTTCTCGAAATGCGCGCCCTTGAACCATCGATCCTTTCCCAGGGATTGTTGTTCGTCGCGGATCGCTTCCTGATGGTTCTGGAGCTCAGAGACCGGCCCTGGCAGGCGAAACTTACGCAGTTTGGAGCGACGAGAAGGGAGGAGCGTTGGATCGAGGAGTGAGGTTGATGAGTCCAGCACGTACACGGTGCGACGACCCAGAAGCCAAGACGCCGGAGGGAGGACCGCTGCAGCACGACTTGGAGCTTCTCAGGCAACGGCGACGACGAGCACGACGGCGGCGACGGCGACAACAGCGGCGGCAGGGCCCCAGTTGCAGAAGCGCTGGATGCCTGAGGTCAGCCCTGCTGGTCTCGCTCTGGGCGAGCTGGCCACGAAACTCCTCGGCGGGGGCAGCGGCGCACGGACGGCACCCTCCTGCCCCTCCTTCACCACCACCTCCGTTTCCTCCGTCTCCACCTTCTCCTCCTCCACCACATCGACACCCTCCGCCTCCTCCTCCTTCCCCTCCTCCTCCTCCTCCTCCGCCTCCTCCTCCTGCCCTGCCCTGCCCTGCCCTCTGCCCCATCTCCTCCCCCTCTACCCCCAACCCTCTCCCCCGCCCTGGAAGAGGAGGATGGGAGAAAAGGAGGAGCAGGAGACGGATGAGCAGGAGACGGATGAAGAGGACCAGACCCCCGACTCCTCCCCCACCTCCTCCTCCCCCTACATCCTTTCCCCCCCTCTGCTCCCGCGTCGCACTACCCCCCCCCCCTCCCTCCTCCGCCCCGTCCTCCTATGCCCCTGCCCCTCCCCGCTGCTGACTCCATCAAGGAAGTCAAGCCCATGGCGCTCCTCGCAGGTGTCCAATGCCTCTCAAAACGTCTCGGCCCCACGCGTGCTTCCTGCCCGCGCGGGCCGCCTTCCCTGCCAGTGCGAGAGGACCACCGCCAGGCCGATCTCTGCCGCCAGCGCCGCGCGCGGCCCGCTGAAGGGCCAGCCTCTCCCAGGGCTGCGAGAGCGTGCCGCCCCGGGCGGCCGAATGCCTCCAAGCCGAAGCAGGAGACTGTGCTTCCTCCCCGGCCCTCGCCGAATACTGGCGAAAAGACACTCGTGAACCCCCTTGACCTCCCGAGCTGCCGCAGCTTGAGCTCTTGAGCCCCCTCCCCCCTGCTGCTGCTGCTGCTCTCCATCCTGGCCTCCTGCTCCTGCCCGGCCGCCGCGCCCCTCCTCTCCTCCTCCTCCTTCCCGCTCCTTCTCCTCCTCCTCCTCCTCCTCCTCCTCCTCCTCCTCCTCCTCGTCTTCCTCCTCCTCCTCCTCCTCCTCCTCCTCCTCCTCCGCGTCCTCCTCCGCGTCCACCTCTTCGTCCTCCTCCTCCTCCTCCGCGTCCTCCTCCTTTGTGCCCCGCTCCTGCCTTCCCCCCATTCCTGCCCCCACCCACGTTTTCTCCCCATCCCCCTTCTGCCACTCCCCCATACCCCCCCTTCCCCCTCCACGCTCATTCCACACCCCAAATCACTTCCCCCGGCCCCCTTCCCCGCTTGCCCGTTCCTGACCCGCTTGCCCGCTCCCCCCCTCCTGCCCCCACCCCCGCCGCCGCTTTGCCCCTTGCCCCCCTATTGTCTTGACGCTGAGCGGACTTCAAACGCTAGGCTCGCAGCGTTCGAGTTTGCCCCCGTCCCTCTCCTCCGACCCTTCCTCCGCCTACCCTCTTGCCCCCGCCTCTTTCTCCTTCCCCTTGGTGTGTGTGTGTGTGTGTGTGTGTGTGTGTTTGTGTGTGTTTGTGTGTGTGTTTGTGTGTGTGTGCGTGTGTGTGTGTTTGTGTGTGTGTGTGTGTATGTGTGGGTCTGCGTTTCGCCAGAACTTTGAAGGAAGGTCAGCGACGACGACGAGAGGCCTCCCGGGGCTCAACCAGGACGAGGAGCATCAAAATATTTCCTCCTGGATGCTCCTTCTCGATCCCCGATCCTGCTCCACACCTTCCCCATGTTTCCCCCCATCTTGCTCCTCGCCCCCAGGGTCCTCGAGCTGCTCCCGCATGGAGGACAGCTGACTTTCCTGGCGGATGGCAGAGGCGAAAAGGGGGGACAGAGTCGGCGCGGCCCCCCTTCACCACTCCCAAAAGGGGTCGTACAAAAGGAAGTGTAGGATAAGGAAGATGAGACAGAACGGAGGGGACCTACAAGACTCGAGGCTGGGCAACAACGTCGCGGGATGCAACGCTGCGCAGCAGAGAGGGAGGTTGGCAACAGACCGCTAGGGCGGGGGCCACCGCGGCTTCCGCTCAAACATGCACTCGTGGGGGCCTCCCCCAACCCACTGCCAGCCTGGACTGGCATCCGCGGGGCCCAGCAGCGGCCGGGCCCCGCAAAAGAAGTGGCAGAGGTGGTTCGCCGAAGGCGCGGGACGGCAACGAACAGGAACGCGCCTTGGATCAGGATCTGTGCCGGACCCTGCAGACCGTGCGCGCCGCCTGGCTGTATCCACACTGCTCGAGTGGGCGCTGCCAAACCCGCCGAAGCACGCGCGCCTCTAGCTCTCACCACATGTGTGCCGACCCCGCAATACTCCAAATCCCTCATCAATCGTCCCCCGGGTCCGGTCTTTTAAGGCGCCGTTCTTGTAACTGGGGGTGTCCGGTTTATTAGGGCGCTTTCCTTGGATGGGAGCTTAGGGGGTCCCGTTTTTCAGGGCGCCCCGTCGAAACAGGGGGTCCGGAATATCAGGTCGCATTTGGAGTGGAGTCCGGTTTTTTAGGGGGGGGTCGATCAATAAGGGATTTGGAGTACCCTCCCAGGCAGAAGCAAAAAATAGCACTCGCCCCACCCTCGCCCACTTGCCGGGGGCCGGCAACCCCTGGCTGCCGAGCCGTCGCGCGGCAGGCTGCCGCGGCCCGGCGCGAGGCCCGAGCGCCGGGCGCAGACGGAGGCCGTAGCGCGCCACGGAACCGAACGCAGACAACCACCGGAACACACCTCAACAGGGGCGCGCCTCGATGCCCTCGCCTCTCCTCCGCCCGAGGAGCTACGGCCAACGCGGGGGCGAGGGTCAGCCCAGACTGCGGCGGCCGCAGGCAAGGGCGTCGCCCTGGCGGGCGGACTGCCGACGAGGGCCAATGCTTCACCCAGGTGCCCAGGGCCGCGCATCAGCAGCTCCAGGGGCCAGAAGTCACCGTGGCCGCCGTCGAACACACGATGCCGAATGAGCTCACTGAGACGAGGTTAGAACGACTCGTTGTTCTTGGGGTCCCAAGATGCAAACAGCCGTCGCAGACGCCTTCGGATACTCGTCAAATAAAAGTCAGTCCTGCCTTCGCCGCTGGGAAAGCCGGCGCGGCTGACAGAGAAAGGCGCCCTGGAGTGCTCTGGATGCGACCAGGGCGCCCTCAGAAAACCGCACACCCAGTTTGACGAATCCGATGACCGCCATCGTGCTCAGCCACCTCCGCGTAACCAGCGCGGCAGCGCAACTTGATCCGCAGCTCGCCATATTTGCGCCCCCGCGTATTCCCGGCACGATCGACTACCCAAAACCAACCCCAGGCTCCCAACCACCGGCTTTGAACACGCGTCTCATGGCCCAAGCCAGGCACGGCGAGACCTCGCGATGCCGCCGATACCCCAGCTCGAACACTTCCTGATACACACAGGAAGTCGCATGCTGCAGCACATTATCTTGCCAAGTAGTCGGCCCTTGAGCTGTCCAGATTGAAAATCTGTCGGCCACCCCACTCCGCGTGCCCCTGGGTGGATTCGCGCGAAGGCACGCAGGAAAAAAGGCGACCTCCGACGCGCGACTGCCATGTTGATTTGGCTCCAGATGGTAGCACGAACGCCAGCTGGAGCGTCGATGGGGGTATGACCAAGCGTGCCCCTCGTCGCAGATTGCCAGGAACTCCGCGCAAGCGAATTCAGATTTCGCAACGACACTGGACGCCATGAGCACCGCCCGCCGTTCTGCCCTGCACACTGAGTGCAATCAACCAGAGCGCGGCCCCTGCGCGCAACGACGGGGTAGTCCCGCTTGATTCGTCGTGTCGAACGCCCGCCCGTATCGCATGCATTCCGACGCCGCCGATGCCAAATCCGGATCCATCCGGGGGCGCGATGTCCCCGCGGCCGCCCGCTGTAGAGGTCCCGTCGCCCCATGGCGCGTTGTAGTAGTGACGTTTGGCCGCGCCCCCATCATAAGACGCGCGAGGGACGGCCGCTCCAATCTCGAAACCACCCCAACAAGGCTCGCCGATCACCTTACGGACCCGATCGTACATGTAGCCCCCGACTTCATGAAGCCTTCCAGGAAACGCACCTTCGCCAACCTCCAGCTCGCCGACGAGCTGCGGGAAAGGTTCACAGCCGTGGAAACGACGTCCTGGCGAGTCGCCCGTGCCCGCACATAAGACATCGAGGTAAAATGGCCACTCCAACTGCATGCTTCCTCCCCCGCGACCAATGCGCCCCCGCCCAGCGAGCCCGCCGCGACGCAGCCGAATCACCTGTTGCCAGCGCGCCGGGGCCGCCAAAACATGGGTTACGATTAGGTCGGGCATGTCCCCTACAGGGGGATTTTAGACGAAAGCTGAAGCATGCAGCCAAAATTAGCCAGGCGAAGAACCCAACCATATGCAGTTGTCAGTACCGCAGCTGCGGGTTTCACCTTCAATGGAACTCCCCATAGGACTACGGAACGTGTGAGGGGTGTGCCGAGATGGGTGCCACTGGGGCATTCGGCGAAGCTCCCTATGGGGACATGAAACACGCGCGGGGCGTGCCGACATGGGTGGCGGAAACGCATGTGCGGGCCGCCACTGGGGCCTCCAGTGGAGCTCCCTATGGGTCCCCGAAACATGATGCTGCTGCGGGGGGGGGGCCGGGATGGGTGGCGGAGACGCATGTAAGCGCCGCTACTGGGGCCTTCGGTGGAGCTCCCTATGGGGCCACGAAGCGCGTGAGGGGTGTACTGGGATGTGTGGCGGGGACGCATGTGAGCGCCGCCACGGGGGCCTTCGGTGCAGCTCTCTATGGGGCCACGAAACGTGTGAGGGGTGTGCCGAATGGGTGCGGGTGGTGACGCATGCAGGCGGTGCCACTGGGGCCTTCGGTGGAGCTCCCTATGGGGCCACGAAGCCTGTTGCTGTGAGGGGCGTGCTGGGATGGGTGGCGGGGACGCATGTGAGCGCGGCCGCTGGAGCCTTCGGTGGAGCTCCCTATGGGGCCACGAAACGTGTGAGGGGTGTGCCGAATTGGGGAGGTGTGGGTGACGCATGTGAGCGCCGCCACTGGGGCCTCCGGTGGATGGGGCCACGAAACCTGTCAGGGATGTGCCGAAATGGGCGCGCGGGACGCATGCGCATGTGAGCGACGCCACTGGGGCCTTCGGTGGAGCTCCCTATGGGGCCACGAAACGTGTGAGGGGTGTGCCGAATTGGGTGTGCGGGACGCATGCGGGCGGCAGCACTGGGGCCTTCGGTGGGGCTCCCTATGGGGCCACGAAACGTGTGAGGGGTGTGCCGAATTGGGTGTGCGGGACGCATGCGGGCGGCAGCACTGGGGCCTTCGGTGGGGCTCCCTATGGGGCCACGAAACGTGTGAGGGGTGTGCCGAATTGGGGTGTGCGGGACGCATGCGGGCGGCAGCACTGGGGCCTTCGGTGGGGCTCCCTATGGGGCCGAAACGAAACGTGTGAGGGGTGTGCCGAATTGGGTGTGCGGGACGCATGCGGGCGGCAGCACTGGGGCCTTCGGTGGGGCTCCCTATGGGGCCACGAAACGTGTGAGGGGTGTGCCGAATTGGGTGTGCGGGACGCATGCGGGCGGCAGCACTGGGGCCTTCGGTGGGGCTCCCTATGGGGCCACGAAACGTGTGAGGGGTGTGCCGAATTGGGTGTGCGGGACGCATGCGGGCGGCAGCACTGGGGCCTTCGGTGGGGCTCCCTATGGGGCCACGAAACGTGTGAGGGGTGTGCCGGCGGGACGCATGCTGGGGCCTTCGGTGGGGCTCCCTATGGGGCCACGAAACGTGTGAGGGGTGTGCCGAATTGGGTGTGCGGGACGCATGCGGGCGGCAGCACTGGGGCCTTCGGTGGGGCTCCCTATGGGGCCACGAAACGTGTGAGGGGTGTGCCGAATTGGGTGTGCGGGACGCATGCGGGCGGCAGCACTGGGGCCTTCGGTGGGGCTCCCTATGGGGCCACGAAACGTGTGAGGGGGGTGCCGAATTGGGTGTGCGCATGAGCAATGTGGCCGGACGCATGCGGGCGGCAGCACTGGGGCCTTCGGTGGGCTCCCTATGGGGCCACGAAACGTGTGAGGGGTGTGCCGAATTGGGTGTGCGGGACGCATGCGGGCGGCAGCACTGGGGCCTTCGGTGGGGTTCCCTATGGGGCCACGAAACGTGTGAGGGGTGTGCCGACTTGGGTGTGCGGGACGCATGCGGGCGGCAGCACTGGGGCCTTCGGTGGGGTTCCCTATGGGGCCACGAAACGTGTGAGGGGTGTGCCGAGAGCAGAGGCAAGGAGGGGGGGGAGGAGAGGAGGAGAGGAGGCGGAGGAGGAGGAAGGAGGAAGGAGACGCGGGGCACCGTCTCTTCAAAACGAGGACCCAACACCACAGGATGGTTGGGAAAAAAAAACATCCCAAATGTCCCAAACTGGTCAAATCAGAGGCAGCAGCGTGGAATGGGGATTCCCCGCTGCAATGTCCTGGCGGAGAACCGCGCCGATGCACCTACTCCCGCAGGCAGCTTGCGCGTGGGTGAACGCGCGATCGATCCCCGTGGCATCGCCCCCACAACTTCCAAGTAGGCGGTGCAACGGACCGTTTCTGTCAAAGCCTCGTCTCCCCCCTCGGGGGCGGTTAACCCACCCATCCCGCTAGCAGACCGTGGAGGCCTTGGATGCGGAATCCAAGGTCTGGAGCCTTGTGGAGATCCACTTGCGTGGAGGGGGGGGGGGGGGGGGCAGAAGGTGTCCGCCCCCAGTCATTGTGAGCTCTCTCCCCTCCCTCCGCCTCCCCTCCCCCCCCTACTCTTCCCTCCCGCCTCCCTCCTCCCTCCCCCCTCCCCCCCACCCCCCTTTCCCACCCTTCCTCCACCTCAGATCCCCTGGAGGAAGACGGCAGGTGAGCGGTGCGGTTGCGTCGCGGGTGGGTCGCGGAGTGGGTCGCGGGTGGGTCGCAGGTCGGGTCGCGGATGGGTCGCGGGTTGGGTCGTGGGGTGGGTCGCGGGGTGGGTCGCGGGGTGGGTCGCGGGGTGGGTCGCGGGTGGGTCGCCGGTGGGACGGCGACGCCAAACGAACAACAACGCAACAAGCATAATCCCCACAACGGATCCCTACTTCAGCCACGCACCCAGGGACAATGAATGACCGTTCGGCCCCCTGGCTCCGACAGCGAGCTCGCCGCAGGTGCCGATTTTCTCGTTAAACCCATGTGGGGGGGTCGCGGGTGGGTGGCGGGGGTTGGTCGCAAATGGGTCGCGGATGGGTCGCGGGTGGGTCGTTGGTGGGTCGCTGTTGGGTCGCGGGTGGGTCGCGGGTGGGTCGCGGGGTGGGTCGCGGGTAGGTCGCGTGGTGGATCGCGGGTGGCTCGCGTGCGTGCGGGGTCGCGGAGTAGGTCGCGTGGTGGGTCGCTGGGTGAGTCGCGGGTGGGTCGCGGGTGAGACGACGACAACAAACAACAAACAACAACCAACAACCAACAACCAACAAACAACAAACAACAAACAACAAACAACAAACAACAAACAACAAAAACAACAACAACAACAACAACAACAACAACAACAACAACAACAACAACAACAACAACAACAACAACAACCACAACAACAACCACAACAACAACCACAACAACAACAACAACAACAGCAACAACAACACCGCAACCAGCATAATCCCCACCTCGAATCCCCACTTCAGACTAAAGCCACGCACCCAGGGACAATGAATGACTGTTCGGTCCCCTCGCTCTGATCATTTATGTCCCTCAGGTTTTTTGCATGATGTTTGCATTATCGCCATTTCGTGCTGCCGTCAGCACAAAGCGGCCCAAGAAGACTGCACGATGGCCAAAGAAGCATCCAAGACGGCCCAAAGACGGCCCAAGAAGGCCTCCCGTGGGACCCAAAACGGCCTCAGAGGGCCCTTCGACGGCCCAAGACGGCCCCACGACGGCCCCGAGACACCCACCACGCGATAAAGAGGGCCCCAAGACGGCCAAAGAGAAGCCCAAGCCAAGCCGGCGTACGAGGGCCCCAAGAACGCCCAAGAGGGCCTCAAGAGACCCTCAATACTGCCTTACAGGAGGCAAGGACAGCCCCGGCACGGCCCGACCGAGTTTCATGAGTCCTCATCCTCATCATAATCATCAGCACCAGCATCAGCATAATCATCACCATCAGCGCCATCATCATCACCATCACCACCACCATCACCATCATCCTCATTATTGCGCGCATCAACTTCATCATCATCAGCCGCATCAGCAGCATCACCACGACCACCATCATCTCGCCGTCACCATCACAGTCGCCGTCGTTATCGATCACCATCGTCATCATCAACACCGCCATCACCACAATCGATCAACATCGCCATCATCATCAACAACATCACCGTATCATCATCACCGTCATCATCCCCATCATCCTCATACTTCTCATCCTCCTCATCACAGCTCCATGGAGCCTGGAGACACGAGGTCTTACACGGCACGGTCTCCCGTGCCCCCTCGAAGAAGCGCCACCCAGAATGCTGGGATGGCACGGCGACAGGCTTCCGCACGCAGATGGTTGACCGCCGCCGAATGCTGCTCCGTCATGGTCCATGGTCGGTCTGCAGGTCGTTGTCGGCTAGTCAACTGTCAAACCATTGAGCTCATGCAGACACGGTCTGTTCAGCGTTTGCCTCGTTATGTTGAAGGTACCTGCAACTAACCAATCATACAGAACAGGCGCGAGCTTCGCAATGTAAGCGGCAAGAAAATAGACTCCAATCTCCACACAGACCAGCCCAGGCACCGCAAGAGAAGTTGCAAACGAGACTGGAATATCTGCACAGACCGTGCATTTACGACATACTCAGACAGGAGATTGTATGCGCTGACCATACCAATGGCCAAATGCAGCAGATAGTCAGGCGCGGTGAACGGCGGCTCGACAAGCTGTCTTCCGTCTGACGAGAGGAGCGAGAGGCAGGGAAAGGGCAAAAGAACGGAGAGAATAACACTACAACTCGGAATACTAATTGTTGTACTAACAGTAGTAGTTGTAAAAGTAGTAGTAGTAGCAGCAGCAGCAGCAGCAGCAGTAGTAGTAGTAGTAGTAGTAGTAGTAGTAGTAGTAGTAGTAGTGGTAGTGGTAGTAGTAGTAGTCGTAGTAGTAGTCGTAGTAGTAGTAGTAGTAGTAGTAGTAGTAGTAGTAGTAGTAGTAGTAGTCGTAGTCGCAGTCGTAGTAGTAGTAGTAGTAGTAGTAGTAGTAGTAGTAGTAGTAGTAGTCGTAGTAGTAGTAGTAGTAGTGGTAGTAGTAGTAACAATAATCGTAGTAGTAATTCATAAAAGTAATAGCGATAGTAAAGTAGTATACTCATAAGAGTTATAGTACTAGTAATAATAAAAAAGGTAATGCTAGTAGTACGGACAGTAGTGACAGAAGTAGTACAGTAGCAATACTACTAGTAGTACTCCTAGTAGTGGTGGTCGTCTCCGTCTTCCTCTCGTCCCTCTTCCGTCCCTACCTGCCTGTTCGACTCGCCCATGCCAACCGAAACGTGTGGATAGATGCTGAGCCCGACTAACCCCCTTTGGCTCCGCAATCAAATGCTCTGCCGACAGTCTGCCTGGCAGCAAAGATGGTGAGGCACCCGCCATCATATCCATTATCTCGAATCCGCCGCTGCAAAGATCCAAGCTCCATGTCACGCAGATGATGTTCCTGCAGCACCACGACTGCCAACTCAGAGCCGAACGTCCCCATTCACGGCACGATGGACCTGTACAACGTGACGTTCACTGTAGTAACGAAACATGTGGTCTTGAACGTTGCACAACAACTCAATCACATACCAAACAAATCGCAGCACACATTCCCAGGCTAATGATGATCGGTCCCTGCACGCTTGGGATAAACACCTCCTTTCGATAGCTTGTTTCGAACGCTCGAGCACCCCCTCGTCAGTGCTTGCCACTGGTCCAATGAAAACCGAAGCCTGGCGAACCTTCGCGAAGTCCCCCTTCTGCCGGCTTCCATGCATCAACCTGTTCCGCCGCAGCCTGAGCAACCCCACCATCATCAGATGAAGGGAGGGAGGGGATAGAGAGAGTGATGGGAAGGTGAAGAGAGAGGGAGAAAAAGGAGGGGGAGAAACATCAGCAGCAGGAGGGACGCGAGCGGATGATGAGGATCTGGAGGGCCGGAGCCTAAGGCGAAGGAGGCAGTCTCCTCTTCCTCTTCCCTCCGAATCCTCCTTCTCCTCCCCCTCCTCAACATCATAGTCAGCATCATCATCGTCATCATCATCATCATCATCATCATCATCATCAGCATCATCATCATCATCATCATCACTATACTCAGCATCATCATTATCAACATCATCGTCATCGTCATCATCATCATCATCATCATCATCATCATCATCATCATCATCATATTCATAATCAGCACCCAGCATCAACATCAGCATCATCACCATCAGCATCATCATCAGCAGCAGCACCATCAGCATCAGCATCAGCATCAGCATCATCATCAGCATTGGCATCAGCATCAGCATCATCATCGTCATTATCATCATCATCATCATAACCATCAGCTTCAGCATCAGCATCATCATCAACAGCATCATCATCATAAGCAGCAGCAGCATCATCATCAGCACCACCATCTCCATCACCATCACCATCATTATCAGCATCAGCATCGCCATCATCATTATCATCATCATCATCATCATCATCATCATCATCATCATCATCAGCATCAGCATCGTCATCATCATGTTCATCCTCATTCTGCAAACCCTGATCATCCTCATCATCCTCCTCATCCTCCTCCCCATTTATATGTTCCTCCGCATCCTCCTTTTTCTACCACGTACCCCCAAATGACAATTCACCTCCCGTTCGGTTCACAAGTAACAAATCACGCCACTCTCGCGGCTGCGCCGTGTCGAGAGCTTCTCCAGGGGGGGGGGCGCCCCCAGAGTCCCAGTGACATCAGCTCTCGACGCCAACGTGACGTGGCCCTGGAGGGGCCACGTCGGAGGCAGGAGCAAGATGACGGGAGAGAGGGAGAGAGGATGGAGGAACACGAAGGAAAGAGGGAGGGAGGGAAACCGTGACAGTCAGGGAAAGGTGAGAGGGAGGAGGGGGACTGCTGGGGAGGAAGGGGAAGGGAGAGAGTCTCACGGGGACGTTCTGGCCAGAACTCCGAAATGAAGCCCACACGCGGAGACGAGGAGCGCCCCAGGAGGCCCAACAGAAACCCAGCAGCGTGCAGCCTCGAACCTCGACGCCTCGACTCTCGACCCTGCACGACGTCAGCGACCTCGGTGACGGCGGCGGCGGCGGCTGCGCGGGCGGCAGCCGCGGCAGCAGGGGCCGTCGGCGGCGACGGCGACGGTGACCCCGCGGCGGGCGGGTGTCCTGGCCGTCCGCAAACGCGCGGTGCACGGGGCTGCTTGGCCCGGCGCCCTCGGGCCGGGAGGGGGGAGAGGAGAGGGGAAGCGATGGGGGGATGGGGAGGAGGAAGGAGGAGGAAGAGGAGGAGGAGGAAGAGGAGGAAGAGGAGGAGAAGCAGGAGGAGGAGGAAAAGGAGGAGGACAGGATAGGACAGGACAGGCCAGGACATGCGCATGAGGGGGTCAACGATCTTTCGTTTTTTTGTTACTGGGGTACTGGGGTGTGGCCCGACGATCGGAGGCAAACGAACCTACCTCGCTTTGGACCACCCTCACTTCCAGAATAACCAAACGATGCCAGGCCACGGCCCGTGGTATGGCTTGGTTTTGTCTGGAAGCGACAGCGGGGCAGTTAATTCACGCTCTGAGACGAGGCATGAGTGCAGCGGTGGGCATCGCGAAAGCGATATCAATACCCGCAGGCACCACCCTAAGCGGAGCGGTCAGGGGTCCGGGGGGGGGAGGGGCGGAGCGGGGCGGAGCGGGGCGGTTGGGGGCAGGAGCACGGAGAGGAGCAAGGCGCCGGCCAGCAGGAACAGGACGACGGGCGCGCCTCTCGCGAGGCGCGCGCATCACTTCGGCACGCGTGGGCGGCTTTCAGGGGGTAAGAGCAAGGGGGACTCGGGTTGGCTCGACGGGGCCATCATGAAAATGACGCGGCCCAGTCTGAAATTTGACGCGGGCTCCCGCTGCAGACACCCCAAGAAACCCGGACCGTCAAAATGCAGGACGGGCTGGTCAAGAAGCGTAGGCGAACCCGAGATCTGGCCTACTCGAGTCTTACGCTTCCCCGACGCTTTTCTCTGGGCCCCGTGGCCATCAGGGAACGAAGGAGGCCGCCTCGGGGACGTGGTCGAGAGCTCGGAGGCCCTGGGGCTGGTGGCGTGGGGGCCGGGGGAAGAACAGCTCCTCCTCCATGCTCCATCCCTCGTCCTCCTCCCAGCCCTCGTCCCAGCCCTCCTGCCTCCATCCCCTCCTCCTCCTCCTCCCCCCCCCGCCCTTCTCCATCATCCAGACCAGGCAGGCCACTTGCTATTTGTTACTTCAGCCTCTGGGGATCGTTTGCCCGGGAACCCCAAAGGGGCGAAGAACACGCCCAGGGGACAGGATCGACAGCTTCGGGGGCTCCTGGGCACAGGAGGCGGAGGGAGGGAGGCGGCCAGAACAAGCGCAAAGAATGACGACCAGAAATAACAGGATGCCCTGGCAGCGCACCAGAGGCACTTGCTCGGAGGATGGCCAGTTGAGACAACGGCGGCTCTGCTCTGATCCGCTCAATATCTCTGTTCGGATCTTTCCCCGTGTCCATCCTGACCCGTTTGCCGAGGCGGACCCAGGCGCGGCGACGAGGAAGCCTTCCGACTCCGCTCCAAGCCTATATCCAGACCTTTCCTGGGGTCCATCCTGATCCGGTTTTCAAGGTGTATCCACCAGGACGAGATCTCCATCCTGAGCTGTTTTCTGGCAGTCTTGGGGCCCGTGGAGGGCCCCGAGGGCCCGAAGACGGTGGAAAACCTCGGGACCCGTTTCCCTCAGGACAAGGCTTACCCCGTGGCGACAGCGGCAACGTCGGCCGTTGCCACAACCGGCCTCCAGGCGACTCGCGGCCACGAGGCGCCCTCTCGGCGCGACGGGCAGGGTCGGCTCCCTGGCAGCCTCTGGCCCGTCCGCGCCCCGCCCGTACGACCGCGGCGGTTGCCAAGGGGAGAGGGGCTCTAGACGCGGATGCACTTTTGTCCCTACATGCTTCGTGGGGTTATGGTGTTCTTCCCTCCCGCGTCGCACCCGCGTTTCTCACACCCCCTCTCCTCCTCCTCCTCCTCCTCCTCCTCCTCCTCCTCCTCCTCCTCCTCCTCTTCCTCCTCCTCCTCCTCCTCTTTCTCCTCCTCTTCCTCTTCCTTCTCCTCCTTCTCCTCCTCCTCCTGCGACTCCTCCTCCTCCCCCCTCCTCCTCCTCCTCCTCCCTGTCCTCCTCCTCCTCCTCCTCCCTGTCCTCCTCCTCCTGCTCGTCCTCCTCCTCCTCCTCCTTCCACCACTCCTCTTCCTCCTCTCTTCCTCCTCCTCCGCCTCCTCCTCCTCCTCCTCCTCCTCATCCTCGTCTTCCTCATCAGCATCCTCTTCCCCCTGGTCCTCCTCCTCCCCATCCTTGCACCCCGCCCGCGTCGCACCCGCGCTTCCTACCAAAAACATGCAACACATGCGCGGCATTGACATGACTCACGCGGCCACATACTGCCACGCACGAGGCACACATACACACAACATGCAAACACCACATATACACACGGGACACATCCGCGGCACTGGCATGATACACAACGCCACATACAGCCGCGAACACACACACACACACACACACACACACACACACACACACACACACACACACACACACACACACACACACACACACGCACACACACACGCACGCACGCACGCACGCACACACACACACAAGCACACGCACACGCACACGCACACGCACACGCACACGCACGCACGCACGCACGCACGCACGCACGCACGCACACACATATACACACACGAACGAACGAATGAACAAACGAACCCCCCCACACACACACACACACACACACACACACATACACACACACATCTCTCTCACATTTTCTATATATATATATAGCAGACACATGCCACCCATACGCGGCACCTACATGAGACACGCGTCAACGTACAGCCGCACACATGCACTCTTCCTCCCGTGGTGACCCGACCCCACCCCCGCACGCAAACCATACAACGCTTGTGCACACCTGGCGCGCTCATTCCATATACACCCAAGACGCATGCACGACATACTGGGCACCCGCATGGAACACTCGTCCACAGACAACCTCACCCACGCGTTGCACAGATATGGGCTCGCAGAGCGTGGCAAACGTAGCGCTTCCTCGACACCAAAGGGGGCGGGGGCTGGTGGCGGTCCCCTTCCGATTCGGGCTCGCAACACGTGGCAAGCGTGGCGCCTCCTCGGCACCGCAGAGGGGGTTCAACTGGGGGTGGTCCCCCTATCCACTTCCGAGCTCGCAAAGCGTGGCACTTCCTCGACACCGCAGGGGGTACGCAAGGGGTGGTCCCACTATCCGTTTGGGCTTGCGAAGCGTGGCAGGCGTGGCCCTCCTCGACACCAAATCGCGGTGCACGTGGGGTGATCCCCCTCGCCGTTTCGGGCTCGCAAAGCGTGGCAGGCGTGGCAAGCGACACGACACGGGGTGTGCTGGGGGCGGTCCGCTTGTCCGTGTCGGGCTCGCACAGCACGGCAGGCGCGGCACTTCCTCGGCACCGAAACAAAATGGCACGCAAGTGGTGGCCCCCCTACCTGCGCCGGGCCCCCAAAGCGTGGCAGGCGTGGCGCAACCTCGACTCCACAGCGGGGTGAAATTATGGTGGTTTCCCTGGCCGTTTCGGGTTCGTACAGCGTGGCAGGCGCGGTACTTTTTCGACACCGCAGCGGGGCGCGCTGGGTGGCGGTCACCTTGCCCGCTTTGAATTTGCAAAGCACGGCAGGCGTGGCACTTCCTCGGCACCGCAAGGGGGGCGCACGTGGTGGTCGCCTATCCGCCTCGGGCTCGTGAAGCGCGGCAGGCGTGACACCTCCTCGAAACCACAAGGAGGTGCGCAGGGGGTGGCCCCCCCATCCTCTTCGGGCTCGCAGCG